TCGACATGCGGCTGACTAATGCAGTTATCGTTCTGACCGGACGACGGCTCTTTGCACCCTTGTTTGTTGCGAAAGCCCTCCTCATTTTGTTGTTAAAGTCTGATACCTGCTACGGTGGCTTCAAATATTTGGTTCGGATTCTTTTCTACATGTCAGAAGCTTTCTGTCAGTTGCTTCTGAACAAATGTTCACTTAAAATTCGATTAGGATCTTAGCAACCGCAAGTTGCAGCTTGTCAAAATTTCTTACTAAATACAATTTACTACGATCCACGACACATTTTTTTGCGTGATTTTGCAATTAAACATTCCAATTTCGCTAGATTTAAAGGGTTAGTAAACTAATTTCAAAAGCATCTATGTTTTTACATGAAACGACGCTGAATCCGATCTGAAAGACAAAATCCTCTTGGACATGGGTCTAAAAATCGTTCCTAATAGTAAGGCCTTCGATGATGAAACATCGCCCCTGATCATGCTCGAATTCTACTTGGCCACTTTGAAAATGAGTTAATACCCCTAGGCGAATGATAAGAACTGTACAGTTCTCTGACACCTTTCGTCTGAAATTCTGACGTGCTCCTCCTCCTTATCACTTCCTCCCAAACACTTTCTGTTCCGTCAACCCCCACGTCTCTATCAATTCCAGTTCAAAACTTTGGCGGTTTCGGCTTCAGATCAAAAAGTGATAACATTTGTATATTTAAAGCGAAGATAACACCATTCTCTTTTCACACTTTTTCCCATTCTTTGTCTTCTAAACAATTCCTATTGCGATTGTCATTTTCAATGCAATGTGCCTATGGAAGGCATGATTGGAATGTATTGGAATCCGATGAATGCGTCACTTTCAAAGGGCGGCGCCGCCCGTTTTTTCCGATGAAATGTTCGTTTCCCAAGCTCTCGATCGTCTAGACACTTCCCATACTTGTTCGATTCTCAATTACTTCAAGCATTAGACGCTTTCTCATTTTACCATTTCCGGTACATCAATTGTTGTTCATTTTTTCGTTTGACCAGAACAAAAGAATACGTCAGGAGATGTCTAGCTCTCAGAAGCCACGTGGCTCATAAAAGCAATCCCGGCGCGGTGTTTTGTGTGTTTCGCATGTTTTCCTCTCTCTCTCCCTTCCCCCATTTCTCTCTTTTTTCGCGAACCATGTGGTGTTCCGGACTCTCAATCTTTTCGAATTTGCACCCGCAAGAAAAAGGAGCAGAAGAAGGCGTCGTCGAAAAGAGAGAGAGAGAGAGGGCAGGAAGTGGTGCTCAACAACCGTTTTGCTCATTGCTCCGCTCGCCGCCTCATTCATTCTGTTTTTAGTTGCAAAAAGGGATTACGGTACCTTGCTCTGATCTTGAGAAGACGTCTCTGTTTGCTCTCCCTTTCTTGCTCTCATGCTCTTCCTCTTCAGCGACCTCTTTTATGGGCCAATCTCATTTTGAGAGCAATCCTCGTTATTTTTTGCGAAAGCCCAACAATGACATCATCAAGAGGAAGCGCGCGAAGAGGGCGGCTCATCTTTCAATTGCAGTTCAGAAATCGACAGACGCGCACTTTGAACCGTCCGTTTTTAATGTTGTTCGAGTTACAGCCAATGCTAGCTCTAGAATTGGTTCAAAAATGAAAACATTGAGTGGGAAGCAATCGAGGAGCTCAATTCGATTAACAGTTGACTCACCCACTTCAGTTTCCGCCCAAATCTGAAAAGAGATGTCTGAATGTGAATGCGAACACAATTTCCCTCCTCGAGAACTTTGCTGTTGGGACGACGTCACTCTTTGTTCGCAAGACTGAAGAGGTTCCCCGGCAACAAAAAAATAATAATTGGATTTTTGGCGAGGTCCCAGTGCACTTGACACAATGTCTTCTCCGAATGCGTTCAAAACAACGTCCCTCCCTCTCTCTCTCTCTCTTTTTCTTCTTCTGAATTCGTTTTCTTCCTCCGACAACACAGCGAAAAGAGAAAAAGAGTTCTGCTCGTTCTTCTTCCTCATTCCTTCCGTTCGAAGATTTCTGGGGGTCGCAGACAACGTGTTGCCATTTCATTTCCATTTCGAACAACACTTTCCGCATTGCCAATATCGCATGCATCATTGTCGTTTTGTCCCCGCCGTCACTTCATTCCTCTCAAAGTTTCAAAGTTCATTGCTCATCTGCCACTGCCGAGCTCTCTCCCGTGTGTGCCCAACCGATTGTCCTGTTCGAGGCACGCAGGCAGTTTCACACATTTCGGTTCAGAAGTTACGGAGGTCAAAAAACTGAGTCCTGTTCTCTGACTGTACGTAATGATGTAAGGTAAGCAGGTACAAAGTCGGTACGGAGAGGCGAATTCACAAACATCGGATTAGCGGGGGTCGACCTCATGTGATTCCACCCTCGCCTCCCTCGTCGCAAATGCGATGGTTTCTGGTTTATCTGTCAGACGAAGAGTTTTGAACTGAACAGACGAGAGAGATGGAGCAACTGCTGTTCATTCACTTCCAGCTTCTTTTTGTTATTACTTTCCGATTCTCTAAAGCTCTCGGAACACTTTTCGTCAAGTCCAGTAATACCATTCCTTCGAAACGGTGTATCTCGGCTGCCGGTAAAGATATACCAAAGGTGTCAACTAAGACAATGTACCCAATTTGGTAATGAACAATTTATCAGTTGAGAACTTTTTGATATCTTTACAAACTGCTGAGATGCATAGCCTACAATTATCGATTTCTTATCTTCTATAAAATCCTCAAGATCTTGTTTACCGTATCCCTTTTCAAACTCTTCAAACCTTTCGAACCCGAACTTCTTCTTCTTCTTCTTCTTCTTCTGTTTCTTCTCACTTTTCGGCATGTCACGTTGTTCATGAAACCCGAGAAACGCAGTGTTTTTTCGTGCTCGCAACCAATAGGTCAAAAAACGGCCCAACTTTTCCCTCTTATTTTTCTTTTTTGAGCAGGAAATGAGAGTGTACGTGCTTCCGCGTTTCTTCTTCTTCTTCTTTTTCTTTTTCAAATATCCGGTGTATGGGTGTGAGCCCACCACCATCGCCAGAAAATATTTTTGAATTAAAGAATGAAAGTATTTCATATTTACCCCGAATGCCCGGTCACTTATGGACGATTTATTCTCGTCAAAGAAAGTGAGGTGAACCTTTGGGTCGCCCGTCATCAAGTGCTGTTTTTCCTCGTTTTTTTAATATTATTTTTCCGCCTGGGATCAGGCCAATCTCTTTTTATGAGCTCTCACAGTCTATGAGTGACGTGGCAGCCGGCAAAGTTCGTCGGAGTCGGGAATCCCCCTGAGAATGCACGCTGCAACCGCCCGTCTTCCTTCCCTTTCCCCTTCTGCGCTCAGATTCGTCTCGCCCGACAAGAGTACCTTCCGAGCTAAAAAAAAAACGGGGAACTCTTCCAGTTGAATGCCTTCGGATCTCGCCAGGAATCTCATTATCCGATCTTTTTGCATTCTGCACGACTTCTTCTCCTTCCCTTCCTGAATCTAATCATAATTTCTCAAGTACTTCCTTCCTTTTTCCGCTATTTGGAGCCCTCTCGCAAAGTGTGCTCCTCCAAAACACGGCGAGCATCGTTTGCCGTGTAAGCCTCGCTGCTCAATCTTCGCATTTCCTGAAGAAGATGAAACACTCTGATTCGGTTCGTAAAAGAAAAGATCAGAATGATGTCACGGGCGGTTTCCTTGATTAGGTAGGAGGAAGATACACTTATAACTTATTCATCACAAGATGAGCGGAGGGTCAGTCAATTGCTCTCGTCGACGTCTTCCCCGTGAACTTTGAAGGCGTACTATATAAAGCTCAAGTGATTCAAAGTTTCTATCGAATGAATTGAATTGAATTCATTGGCATCTGGCGGTGGGGGCTACCCGAAAGAGCATAGATTGGTCCGACAAACAACTGTCGAAACATGTGTGTGTGTGTGTGAGAGCGTCGCCGATTCGATCACAAAACAACAACAAACTCACTGCCTGCTTCCCCTTCCTCTTTTTGCCACGTCGACATATCGTCTTCTTCTGCTGCTGCCGAGCACGTCATTTTATTTTTGTTCCCCTCCCCCTTTTCTAGGACAAAAAGGAGCAAAGGAAGAGAAAACGGTGAGTCAGTTGGGAGCCAAATCGCATTTTCGCCGGTGTCTGTCACTCTTTGATGGATCATTCCATTCGCCGTTCCCATTCCGTTCCATCGTATTCCGAGTGCCACGTCACAAGTGCCCCGCTTCCTTTCACTTCCTTGTCTGGCCGCCACAAGTGGTGTCACAGTTGTCATAAGCTCTCAACTTTTCTTCTTCTTCTTCTTCTTTCTTTCTTCTGTTCTTCTGTTTCTGTTCTCCTTGTTTTCGGCGCCTCCTTCGAAATGAACGAAACGAACGGCGTCTTCTGTAGTCGTCTCATGAATATTTCGTGTTTGTTCCCAAAAATTCATACACTCACAAAACGCCGCTGGCCGCGGACGGATCCAATTTGACCGGTCAGCCACCCACGTAACATATGCAAATTCGGAGACTGCAAACGAGTGATTCCCAGTCGGTCCTTTTCCGACGGTAGGTGTCTGTGTTCCACTTTTCTCCATGACACACACTCTAATCCAAACGTCCTCTCGTCCACCACCACGCGGCTAATCGGCGTACGATTTTGCGAGTCTCTGCCCCTTTTTTCCGAATACTTACTCATACCAGTTTTCGTTTCCACTTTCCACAAACAAAAACAATTGCCCCCCCCCCATTCTCGATCCTCTTTCTTTCAAATTCAGTTCTCTAAGTGGGTGGCCCTCGCACACGCTTTGACCGCACCCAAAAACCTCTTCTCCGTCTGATTCTCCGTGTCCATCAGACAGTGACTTCTGATTCAACACCTTCTTCTTCTCCTTCTTCTGCTTCGACTTTGACTTCTTGTTTGCCTGTTTCCCCAACTTTTGGCCGTCGAGTTTAATCAGCCGTGACCACCACTTTTCACCTCCTCCTCTCATCCATCATCATTCTCGCCTCATTTCAGTGCAAATACAGATGATGCGCCGCAAAAATTCGTCGTCAAGCTTCGGAGAGCTGAACGTCGATCAGCTCATCGCCACGTTGACGTCGGTGAAGCCGTGGCACAAGACGCTCGACGTCACCGAGAACGAGATCCGAATGGTGTGCGTGCTCGCGCGACAGATCTTCATGCACCAGCCGATGCTGTTGGAGCTCGAGCCTCCGCTCAAGATTGGAGGTTAGATTTGGGATTTGGATTCGTAAGATTGTACATTGAGCGTCACTTTGGACTTTTCTATTGAAAATTCACAGCTACATTCTATCATCTAGCCCAGAGAATTGAAGCCTGAAACTTTGAAGATGCTCAAGTCCGGAACACTTTGAAAATCTCATAATCGATTCGAGAATCACTAATTTCAGGGGACATTCACGGTCAGTTCTCCGATCTTCTGCGCCTTTTCAACCTGGCCGGCTTCCCGCCAGAGTCCAACTATCTGTTTCTCGGCGACTACGTCGATCGGGGACCGAAAAGCATCGAGGTGAGTGTGTGTAAGAATGTTCTAAAAATGTCCCGTCAATGACCATGAATCATATTCGCTCTTCAAGTTAGACGGTCACTCCCGTGTACGTGGTGTGGTGACTGACGTTTTTCTCAACGCGATTAACACTAGAAACAGGCGCCCGCCACCGTCCATTTTCCCCAATTTTTCGCGCACCGACAATTCATTCACACAAAGTGACCCTTTTTGAGCGAGCGAAAACGAAAACGAAAAAAATCCGATAATTACCTTTTCGTTCTTTGCCCAATGGAATGGCGGGGCGAAAACAAGAGGGTTGCCAGACGGAAGACGAACAGAATTTCAGACGATCGTCCTGTTGCTGTGCTATAAAATCAAGTATCCGAACAACTTTTTCCTGTTGCGCGGCAATCACGAGGTGGCCAACCTCAATAGGATTTATGGATTTTATGACGAATGTAAGTGGCTGGAACGGAAATGCAAATGCGATTCAATATGGTTATGGGACAAAACGGGATGAGAAAGGATGATGGGATGCGAAAGCTTTAGATGATCAGGATTAGGAGAAGAGTGATCGGCATGGGTGAATCTGAGATTCTGTAATAGAAAGGCACCCCAATACCTTATCTGCCGGTAGAGATATCAGAAAAGTGTCAACTGATATTTTGCTTATCAAAAAGTTGTGTACATTTTATCAGTTGACCGCTTTTTGATAACTCTACTCCTAAGGGTACTGTAGCTCATGAAAGTGGCGGCTCTCAAAAGCAACTTCTACAAACTACAGTAGTCTCAAAATCGGTTGCACAAAAAACTTGTCAACTGATGAAATGCAGTTCTAGGTGTAAAGATTTTATGCAAACCTTTTCGAGAGCTATATAATGGCTGACACATCTATGTACACTCAAATTCGACCAATTCTTTCAGGCAAACGCCGTTACAGTGTGAAGCTGTGGAAGTGCTTCCAGGATGTGTTCAACTGCATGCCGGTCGCCGCGCTCATCGACAACAAGATCTTCTGCTGCCACGGCGGTCTCTCGCCGAACCTCCGCTCGCTCGATCAGCTCAAACGTCTCTCCCGCCCGTGCGACGTCCAAGAGACAGGCCTTCTGTGCGACGTGCTTTGGTCTGACCCGGACGCGACGGTGGTCGGATGGGCGCCGAACGAGCGAGGAGTCAGCTACGTGTTCGGAGTGGACGTGCTCGCGCAATTCCTCCAGAAGATGGACTTGGACATTGTGGTGCGTGGGCATCAAGTCGTCGAGGACGGCTACGAATTCTTCGGAAGACGTGGCCTCGTCACTGTGTTCTCGGCGCCCAACTACTGCGGAGAGTTCGACAATGCGGGCGCAGTGATGAACGTCGACGAGAATCTCTTGTGCTCTTTCCAGGTTACTTTTCGGGTTCACTTCTTCCAAACTATGTGTTCTTTTCAGATTCTGAAGCCACAGTCTCAGTTGGTGATGGACGCTGCGATGGCCGAGAAACAAAACAATTTTGTTGCGAACCTGGCAGGAATGGCCAACATCAAGATAGAGCAGAAGCCACAGCCGATGATTCAGAAGCGCTTCCGTCGGGGAATGCTCTAGAAGTCTGCCTAGTTCCTCTCTTCTCCTCTTCTCTCATTTTCAGCTTTATATGATCGGAGCAGTTCAGTTCGTTTTCCCCCTTTTCCCCTCTTCTCAGTCCATCACTTTTCTGTCCCGGGTCGTTTTCTCCCGATTTCTCCCGATTAGATCCCTTCCCTTCCCGGTCTTCGTTATCCGTCCATTTCGTCTTCTGAAAGTAGTGCTGTATTCAATCAAACAACGATATCAAAAACCGATGCATATTCGTTTTCGTTTTCTTTTTTCTTCCCCTCCTTTCCATCCCCCGTTTTCTGTGTCTATTCAGAAGAGTTTTATTTGATTGTGAGTCTTACGATGTATTTTTAATTTTAATATTTGAAAGTGTTGAAGCGGGTCTTCAATAAAAATGTATAAAGCAAGTGTGATTCGTTATTGTTACAATGCGCCGTCGAGAACGGAAGCCAACGTAATTGGAAAAAACGCATTCAGAAATAATTGGATTGTGACGGACAAACACCGCCATGTGACCATACGCTTCTTTGTGATGAAAGAGTGAAAGAGCTCGAGCAAACAGTCTGACTCACACTCATTTTTCATTGTTTATCACGGAGAACAAAGCGCACCAGGAATTCAAGGAATTCAAATCTGGCAACTTTGACGATCTACAACAGCGTCAGGAAACATCACACTACTCCGAAAGCTGTCTACGGGGGACTGGAAATTGTGAAGCTGTAACTGGCCACAGAAACCTTACAGTTACCTCTAACGTGGCTCATTTTGAAGAACACAATACAACTGAACTTTTATGAGAACAGCAGAGATCTCTTTATTCGATTTCTGGAGATAAATTGAAAAAACCGATAGTCGCATGTATGCCGGGCCGTGGTGAACGCGTTGAGCGTCAACGATTCGAAAAGCTACAACAGTCTTCAAAGCTATTTCTCGAAAAAGTTGACATTTAGAAAAATTCCATACTGTTTGTACGACTTCTTTTTGTACGTGCTTCGTTTGTGAGATTGGAGGTTGAATAAAGAACAACAAATGTGCCAAACATCTATGAAAGGGCCCAAAAGGAAAACCACTTTCCTCACTCACAAAAATTAGTAAAATGGTAATCTAGGTATGAACATTTTTAAAAACCTCTTTTGCAGCTGTAGTATGTCTTCTGACCGATATCGTATGCTCCTGATTCAGTTTTCAATAACTACTCCGCTCAAAAGCCCCCTCACGTCCAAATAATAGGCTAACGCTCTATAAAAAGCCATAACTCTCGCTCATCGCATTTATGACCCTTCCGTCGATTTCCTGTGCGAGACCATCGAAACAGACCGGAGATTGGGCACTTGCCCTTGGATTCGCCGCTATCTCTATAATTATATATCGGCTTCCAAGATCTTGTGTGTGTGTAGTCTGTACTCTCCGTTAAGGACTGAGGAGACCAGACCACACTAGACACGTTTATATGCGTATTAGGAAAAGGTCAATTGAAACTTTCGAAAAAGAGTAGCAGGTTATCCTAAAGCCGAATTTCCTGTCGTATTCCGGTCCCCAAAAGTTTACACATGAGCTCAGCTCTAGGTTCTCATCCAAATGTCATCCACATTTTAAGTCAGAAGCTTATCAGAACGTGGCGAGGGTCAAATTATGAAGATTCAACCTGTTGAAAAATAACCTGTTGAAAATACGGGCTTGCCGGGAACGGCTTTTGATTTCAAGATACCTTCAGTGCATTTAATCCTATCTTTCCCTGGAGATACTCAATGCCAAGTAACGGTCCTACTGAATAATTGATAAAATCAACCGCAAGATACCCTGAAAAGCTTTGGTTTTGCCGAAACCGCCCTTCTCCATTCCCAGAGTTATCAATTTCCAGAATGGCCTAGACTCAACCTCAGCTCCTGCTCTTTCTCAAAGTCCCTCTAAATCTGACAATCCCTTCCCGTCATCAAGTGTCCGCTTTCCTCTTCCCTCCAGTCACATGCTCACAGTTTCTCCCGTGACAACGGGTTGCCGCGGGGAACACGACGGAAATTGGACTGCCGACATTTCGCCGAGCTCTTTTTTTTTGTTGTTGTTCAAATGAGAAAATGCTCGCCGACATGAATAATGGCTTTCGCGCGCGCGGTGGTGGGCAGTGTGCCGTTTCCAAAACAAAGAAGAGGAACCGAAGTCTGGAGACCAAACCTTCAAAATGTGACTAATGAAAATTAGCAGAGATCCTTCTTTGAAAAACCACTAGCAGCTCGGGGAGTTTCTGTTTTAGTATCAGCACAATCGCTACATTTCTAGCATGGATTTTTGAACGCACAAAGTTTAGAGGGCTTGATCCCTGGCGCCAAGATCTCCAATCTCCACTCAATCCGTTGATCCCAAAGGAATTGATGACATTGCGAAATGTGTCACCACGTGGGAATTGTGGTCACACTCTTAGTCACAAAATCTATGTCACTTGTTTGTTTTTTGTATTCGCCAAGCACAAATGACAAATCTCCAAACACAGTCGTATTGCGTGATCTGAGAGCAATTTACTACAGTCCTCCAGATCCTCTTGGCCAGCCACGAGTGCGTAAAAGTGCACGCACAATACTTGCGAGTGTCAGGCACATCAGCCGAGACAACTATTGTACTTTATATCAGAAGAGTACAAGTTCTTAATCCGCTTTCCGGAGCAATGTCATTCTGATTTGAGCAGACACGGTACAAACATAGACGCGCCAAATCCGGTACCTTTCGTAGTTGTCTGTCCAAATCGGTGGTTTGATTGGAAACCCCCCTCGAAAGTGTCCTTTTTCGGTATATCCCATTATCCGATTGGTGCGTGTGCCCATAAATTGACACTCTGAAAAAAAAGAAGCGAACATTGGAAACTGGCCCCGCGATGACGTCGTTCCTCCGTTTTCGGAAAGTACGACATCGCCGTGACACATAGAATTCGACAATGTAAAGGATTCGCTGAAGAACCGCCGGGCCGATCACTGTTCAAGTCATTCGGAACGAATAATCGAATTAGGATCCATGAGTCATCATCCCATCGCGTTTCTTTGCAGACACCGTGTTTTATATAAATAAAATTATTTATTCGCACATTTTCTGGCATTTTATATGGTGATATTCGATAGAATTCTTTTTCTGTACAGAACGAGGGATTGAAATAGGGGGCGAAAGCCGAGAGAGCGACATCATCAGTGGGTGTAATACGTTTGATAAAGTTTTCTTTGATGAAGGGGCGGGAGGGCGAGAAAAGATATGAGCAATAGACAGACAAACTGGGATGTGGGTAGAAGTAAGTCCCTAGGTAACCGGGAAGGGGAAACTGTAGAAAGAGGGGAGGGCTTTCGGAAGGATTTGTGATGGACCGTCTCTCCGTTACTGTACAAGGAAGACTGATCCATCGGGGGGAGAGAGGGGTAGAAAGTTCGATTAAAACCATCACAACACAACGTACAATTCTTCGGGGAGGCGTCAATGAGCAGCAAAGTAGTAAGAGCATTCGGGAGAGTCAATAACAAGTGGAAGTGTGATACTGTACATAAATACTATGGAGATTAGATGAACGGGGATCCTAGATTGAAAACCTTCCTGGGGAAGAAAGGCCTTCTCAAGTCAGCCATTGAGAATAACGAGAGGTGCCCTAGTAGACTATATAATACTGGGGAGAAACGAAAAGTGTGCTGACTTGGTCACAATAATAGAAAAAAAATCCAAAGAGAAAACAAATAATTAGAATTAAAGCCTCTGAAGGAGTACTTATTCGGATGCTGCTGCTACATTTCGCGACGACCCTATTAGAGTTATCATATCATGATGATAATACAGACGGGGAGGGAACAACATAATTATAAACGAGACAATATATATGTCATGGGGTGATAAGGAGTGGGGTGGGTGCAAGAAGAAAGCGTGCTGATTAGGGTACAAAAGGTAGAGAGAGGGAAAGCCAAAAAATGTCGAAAACGGTTAATACGACAAGCCAATATTTACAAGTTGTATGTACAGAAGCGAAAAAAGAGAGTAAAGGGAAGCATCGATTCGAGAATGAGACGCTCGGGTCAACTAGAAGTTCCCAGGAAGCTGACGAGCCGGTTGAAGACGTTGCTGCCACCAGCGTTATCGCGGCATCCCATATGAACGGGATCGTGGGAAAGCGGCCGACCGACTGAAAAAAGAACATTTGGAAATGAGTACACACAGGGGAATGACGTCGTTTCTGGCGCCATGATGCTTGAGAACGTGTGGGCGCAAATGTTTGAGAAACGGCACTTACGTTGGCGATTCTGGGTGGGAATCGGCGACACCGGCTTCAGCAGAGTTGACGAGGAGGACGACGTTTTCCGAGACGGAGTCGAAATGAAAGAGGCGGCAGATTGTGGACGCGAGAGGAGACGAGTGGCGGTGGCGACTGGCGACAGAGTCTTGACGGATGCCAGCACTGGAGCAGCTTCCTTCTCGACAGTCAGCACCATGCGTCTGAAGGGAAAATCATTGAATTATGGAATCATTTGACGTAATACTTACCTCGATGGCTTACAGTACTTGAGCTGGATGGCAAAGCGGCGATCTTTCGGGTGTGTCATTCGAAAGACGCGTTCAAGCACGATCGAGTGCTGATTCTGTTCCTTTCCAAACGAGCGATTCATCGGGCTGCGTGGCGGCCGATTCTCGTAAATGTTCTGGAGACGCTCTAGACTGTTCATAAACTCGTTGTATTTGTACGAGCCGGCATCGATGGAGATCTGCTTGAAAATCGTCGGCTTCGTGAAATCAATCCATTCCTTCACGAAGTGGAAGAGGTCTCCCGGACGGAACTCCAGGCATCCAACAAGATGGACCGAGATGCGTTTTCGGATCGCGTCTGGCAGTTTGATCCAGTTGGCGAGGAGCTGTCCGCGCACGAAAACGCACGGTTGCGATTCCGGTTGAATGACAGTCAGACGATGCAGGTTGGAAAGGTTGAGCACCTCGTGCAGCTCCACTTTCTTTGCCGCTTGCACGTGATCGAAAGTCAGCGCGCGCGTGTTCCGACGCATCATTGACAGGAAATAGAAGATGGTGACTGGAGGACGAGCTCCGTAACACACCGAATCCTTGAAGATGAAATGGGCTCCACGGATGTTGGCCAACTTCTCGGCGAGTCGTTCTATGCGTCCGGCCGACTGCATCTGCATCTCCTTTTCGGCATCTGGATTCAGCCTCACGTATTGACCGTCCGGCATTCCCATCGCTGCTGCCTTTATCTGGTTCTCGTAGTAGGCAGTTCTTCCTTTATACGAGCTCGGCGACATCGGATCATCAATCTTTTCGCGTTCGAGGAACGAGCAGAAGTTCTTGAAGTAGACCTCGTTCACCTCGTATTCTTGAAGCCACGGCTCGAAGTCGAATGCGAATGCCCAGTGCGGATCGGAGGTGTCGGTGTACTGATCGCTGATGAATGTGGTCGCCTTCGAATTATTTCCAGAGCTGTCCGTTGTCGCCGTCGTGTTTGTTCGATCACTAACGTTCCGCCTTCGTAAATCTTTTTGTTGGTTAGTCTGCTGGCGACGAGTCTTGGTTTTGGTTCGTGACGAGTTGCTGTCTGATTCGGAAGCTGATGAAGAGGTGGAAGCGATGGAGGCGGAAGAGGACGAGCCAGAATCGGTCGACTCGCTGTTCTTCGGAGTTCGGGAAAGACGGGTCGGCATTACCGTACTGACGCCTTCGAGAATAGCACGTCTTCGGTCGCAAATGAAGATCTTGGCCTTCTGGCAGGAACGCAGAGACTCGGCCTTCTCGTCTTCCATATCTTCGATCAGCTCACGAAACTGCCTATTGACGAGCGAGCAACGGGTCATGTCGACGGAAGAGCAGCTGAAAACGAATAAAAATGAAAGTCGAGTACGGAATGGCTGCGAGTAAATGCGAAATGTTGCCAGTTCGCCTTATCAGTGGGAAGGAAAAGGCACCCCTTCAGCCATCAATTTCCTTCTTTGTCTCCACGATTCTTATCATGATGAGAGCACGATGGAATTCGTGGAAAGATTGCGATTTCCGATCAAACTGTCAAAAGATAGACACTCACTTTGCAAGGATCACTTTGAGAATCGGATCCGGAAGATCGGTTATGTGGCGGCTTCGAGGCCGCGTTGACATTGATTTGAGATTCATAAAACTCATCGTGGCGAATATGTCATCCAGTGCCTTTTCGGCTTTTTCTGGTGAGTTCCTGCAATGAAAACTTTGATGAAAAGGTGAATTGAAAAGGCGTGAGATATCGGAATCGAAGAGAGGGACAGAAGATGTTGGAGGGAGGAAACGGAAGATTCTGAGGAGACTCGTGACAACGAACACGAGGGGCGAAAGCGCTGTCTGCGAGAACGGGGCGCGCGGAAAAACAAGAAATGAATATGTGATTAGTGGACGACGACGACGAGAAGAAGACGAAGAAAAAGCAGAAGCAGACGAACGGATGGGGCGGAGCTCTGGCAGCGAGCCAAAACTTTGTTGTTTTGGCGATGAGCCAGACGGAGCCCTGGCACTACTACTCCGGACCACCCCACAACAAAAATATGACGGATGAAGACGAGAAACGGGACGGCGACAGGGAAGCGGATGAGGAAGGGGAGCGAGGGGCACAACAACTTAGACTCAACTAGTCAGCACCCACACCAGTTTACGAAAAATTTCGAAATTCGCGCGCATGCGGGTGGGCGGGAACAAAACAAAAAAAAATTGAGCGGAGGAGGGAGGAGGAGCGGGAGAAAAATGTGGGCGGGGCCGGGAGGGAAGAGCGCAAATCGAGAGGGAGATGCCGGAGGAGGAGGCGGCAGAGAAGCGGCAGACGGGTGCGCGCTCGTCTCGCGTGCACGTGACCGGACGGAGGGGGGAGGCCGAGGGAGATTTCGAAAGCCTGGCACGATGCCAAGCCGCAATTATAACACGTCAGTGAACGAGTGGGGTGGGTGCGTGCGCGCGCGGGGAAAGACAGATGACGTCGTGCTTATAAAAAACATGTGTGAGAAGAGGAAGAGGATTACGCAAAAAAGTGAAGCAGAAGCAAGCAGCTGGAGAGGAAAGAGAACAAAAGAATTCCAATGGCGGGCGGGCGTTCGGATGACGTGCATGACATCCGCACTTCTCCGAATCAATTATGGAAAGCGGGGCGGGCTTTGAATTCCTTCATACATTCAGAAGAAGAAGAAGGACGTCATCAGAGGGAAAACAAAAAGCGCCGAAGACCAATTCATTATCTAGATGTGCGGATGTGGGCTAGATGCCTTTTCGGTGACTGTACACAAGGAAGTCGATTCTCGGATTTAGAGTCATGAGTTAACAGCTCAAAACACAAAAATGAACGGGAAGCCAAACTACAGTTTAGGAGAGATAATCAAAGAGTTCATCTTTGCAGAGCGTATTTGCAATTCAAAACGGACGTGCGGGAGAAGTGGGTGCGCGGGAGTGGGGAGGAGGCCAATCAAAAGCAATCAAAAAGATTACCCCGACTGTTTGCAACAATTCGCGATAGAAAGATGGTGACAGCCGCAAGAGGAAGAATGAGCAATACACGACCGAAGAGCAAGAGGGAGGAGCTGTCAGGGCGAACCTGTCCGGTCAGTCACCTTCCCGGCGGTCAGCTGAGAAGCGGGAGCGGCGGCCGAGAAAAACGAGGAAACGAGAACACCGAAAAGGCACAAAAAAGAAAGTGCGCGAATTCCTCTCTCTCTCTCCTCAGCTGACAAGTGCGCAAAGGAGGGAAAGAGGGAAGGGCTAAAGGCCGATTGTATGTGTGTGTGGCATGGGAAAGTGGGTGGGGACAAGGGTCGCCAGTGAGCAGCGGGCGAAGCATTGAGGGAAGAGCCCGTCAGTCAACCCGCCCTCCCGCGCGAGCCCGCGAGCACTGCTGCATTCCTAGAGTGTGGTGGTGCGCGCACACATAACGTCCTTTGAAAGACACTCGACCGGCTGGTGCCTGTCGGTGGGCGGGGTCTTCTCCCGGCTGATAGACGAAGGAGGAAGGTCAGCAGACAACCGTCTTCCCTTCGAACGGCACCCCTTCCCACCAAGGACAGTGCAAGCTGCTGCAGGCACAGCAGACGGGATGAGCGGCGGGAAAATGATGAGAAGGAAAGAAGGAAGGAGGAAAGGGAGAGGAAGGAGGAGGAAAGGGGCGTGGCCTGGTACCAACCACCTGCGTTAAGGAATCGTTTCCCGCGCACGCGCACGAGAGACACCGCAGAGTGGTACGTCGGCGTCTTCTCCTTTTCTGCCAGCTGGGTGGTCTGTGTTCGACGCGTGACTTTTCGCCCTTGGCGTCACCGTCGTCACCGTCAACGACCACTAGCGGAGGAAGAGAATAAGAAGAAGGGAGAAGACGATAAGAAGCGAATAATAGCAATTTACATCGTCCTCCCCCAGTCTCCGATTGAAAAACGAAAAGGGGAGGAGGCCTGGCGACCGGCCAACACTCACATCAGCGGGTATTTTTGCACTTTGCGCGTACTTTTGTAGACGCCCTCACCCCGTCTTCCGTTAGAATAAAGGCACATAAATCGCCCGGGACGACGCGAAATGTGAAATCGGACTGGTGTAGTTTTGACTGCCTCCTCTAGCACATTAAAGAAGAGACTGGGGGGGGTCTTCAGGCGGCAGAGGTGTCCCGGTCGGAAGGGGCGGAATGTGTTGGGGATCTACCGGGTGTGAAAGAGGATTTAGAGAGACCGTGACTAATGCCGAGAAGAGACCGATTGAGATGAAAGACTACTACATTTATAATACAGGGGTTCAGCATAACAACAGGAAGTATTGGCCGAGTGCCAAGATCCGATTATGACGGACGCATCTATTTGGGAGAAACGGCCGAAACGAGAGCACTGAGCAACGTAAAGAGCATCGTAATCCGGAGATTAATCCTAGTCTGGTAATGAGCATGATGGTCTTCTGATAGTAAATTCAGGAGTGATTTCCGAAATTCAAAATTGAAAATCAGGCTTCCTCTAGGCCTCTAGCCCAGGAGTCACGCGCACAGCACAAGCTGCTTCTCAAGTTCTCATTTCTAATTCAGGAACCTTAGAACCACGCGATTTAGTGCGGAGCGGAGCAGCAGGTGCATGCAGGACAAGAGAGCCGCAAAGGATTGTGCGGAGCCGCTCCGACTAAAGGGCGAAGAACAGTGTCCCGCCCCTTCAAACTTAGTACCCCTGTCGCACGAGTGGAATGTGTGTGAGTGTGTGCGGGTTCGTTTGATTTGGAACGAAGCCAAGTGGGGGAAGAAGGGGGAGGAGGACGAGAGGGGAGATTTAGACACAAAGGTTATACAAACACAGGTAGTCGGCAACATCGGCGGGGGGAGCTCTAGAACACACTGTATTTGCTACGCACTGGTATGTCAATGTGTGTGCTCCAATTTGGCACTGATCAAGCTTAATCGAGGCGGATATTTGTGTGTCTGCCGCTGCCTTCCGATCGGCGGGCGGTCCTCTTGTCTCGGATTATGTTACAGTAATTGAAAAGAGACATCAGCAACATGCGACGAAAAGACAGACTGCTACTACGACTACTAGGACTAGGGCACCTGATGTTAGTGTGACATAGTTCATCATCGGTTTTAGTACAGATTATGACAGCTGCTGCCACTACTAGAGACGGACCATGATCAGATCAAAGTTCTAAGAACTGAGAAAACTACTCTTTCCTGGAAAAAGTTACAGATGGGAGTAAAACAGGAAAGACAGAACTTTTGTCACCCACCACGACGGCACTAAACTAAAAACGAGGAGAGCGGAAAACGGATCTGAATGAAAAGGAGAGAGAGAGAGAGAGAAACAAGGGTGATCTGAGAAGCATCTTTACACACTTCTTCTACCCGTGAATCCTGGGCCCCTCCTACTCTCGCTTCTCTTCTTCTCTTCTCAACCAACTCAAAACTCTTTGAAGAATGCGAGAGCAAGAGAATGGCGCATCAGCAACACATGAAGAAGAAGAAGAACAACTCATCAATCACATGACTTTTTGGCGGCTCCTCGACGTCTTGGCCCCGCCCATTTCTCCGTGCAAAACTTTTGTGCTCTCGCTTCTCCAAGTATCCTCTTCCGGCCGCCGTGCTGGCGACCATGACGAGATGGGGCAGGAAGTCCAAAAGTGCAGACGATGCCAGCGCCATCATCATTCTCATCACCACGATGAGTCCTTTAATGGTTTTTTGGCGCCGCCGACAAAGAGCAATACACAAAGGTGGTGCACAATTGTTGCACTAATACTACCACGTAGTACCGTACTGTTTGTACTTTACCACATGCGCACACCATCTCTCTCTCTCACTTCTTCTCTATCCCTTTTCCATAGTTTGTTTGTACTTGTTGGAAGGTGCCAGGTGGTGGCAACCACCGTTCGCGCGGTGTCTCGGCGCCCGCGCGGTCCTCGCGCAGGTAAAAAAAAATGGAGGGAGAAGTGAGATTCGGAGAATTGCAACATTTCAAGTGGCTAGCACTTTCTTTCACATATACACACAAAAATGCCTCGTGCGGGCGAGAAGAGAGAAAAGGGAACGGAGAGAGCTAAGATAAAGATGATTGCCGAAAAAGAAGAAACAGAAATGAGGGATTCCCTCCAGCCGCATCTAGCGGGATGCACGTGATGCGAGTGTGAGTGAGTGTGTGTCTTTCTCGGCTGCAGGAGGCAGTGACAGTGCTGATTCAGACAGTGTTGATACTACACAACGACGCACGCCGGCTGACAGTCAGCTGATTGGCTAGGGAGTGCGTTGGGTGAGAAACGGGCGAAAGCAGCAGACACGATACATCATATCAAACTTGTCGCCTTCGCCCCCTTGTTTTACACGCACTGCCCAGCTGATGATCGCCGTGAGATGATTGGGGGACAAGGCTAGAAATGGAAAGCAGGAAGAAGGCAGAAAACAGAACAGACAGAGAAACGGAAGTACATTCGCAGAAGAGATGTGATTGAACTTAGGGTGAAAAGAACTTGACCAGCTTCTTGCTGTCAACAACGAGGACTTCAACCCTCGTTTTGGTTCAAAACAATCGGGACCGACATATATGTGTCGTCCTATTTCTGGTGAGAGGGACGGGAACTACAATAGAGAAGCGAGAGCCGATAATTGTACCTTTTTCCCTCTCTTCTACTCTCCAGTATCT